GAGGTTAAATAAAGAAAATGTTGCAATGTAGCAGCGGGTGGGGGAGCTCAACTCCAGAGTTGTTGGCCTTACCAAAGAAGAGTAATGCATAGGGAAAGCCCAATCAGCTGGCAAAGATGTTCTTAAGTAGTATATAGCTACGTTTTACCTAACTGAGGAATATTAGAGCTTTGCCAGATATTGGAGAAGGTTTGATTATACTAAGATGGTGGAATGGATTGAGGTACACTCTTCTTTCAACACCACTGAGGTAAGGTCAGAATTCTTAGAAGAGGGGGAGCACGAAGAACCTCAAACTCTGGTAGAGGGTAGCCACGGAATCGAAATTGAAGATGAAGTTGGCGAGGATAACAAAACCTCTGAAGATGTAAGCCCTAATGCCATCATTCCTTTTACTGGCACAAATCCCCATTTCCCACTTGCTTTGTTTAGATCTTTGTATTTTTTTTATTTCCTCAATGTAAATGGCTTCGGCCCCTATATAATGAACTTCAACGAATGAAATCCTTTTTTCTTACGTCTGTGTTAGTTCATTGAATTTGATGTTATTACTTTTTGATGTGCTTCAACCTTTGTTAATATTCATTTCAATCATAATTTGTACAAGTGTTATAAGTTCATATGCTTTTTGACTTTTATCTTTCCTTTTCATGTGGTTTAATGGTCATCTATGCAGAGGTTTCTCCCATAACTTTTATCATTGAGGAGCATGTGTTATCTACTTGGCGAGTAAGTAGGTGGTCTCTTTTGGGATCGGTCTCTTCATCGAAGTGCACATGCTTCTCTACTTGGTGGATGACTCATCAGGCAGAAGCTTCTCCTTAGACTTTTGTCGTTGGAGGCACTTTTCTTTTCTTTCAAAAATTTAACAATTTCATTTTTATTGAATTAAACAAATCATACAAGAATTGAGTATTTACACTTCTATTGATAATACCTCCTCAAGTGTTCTACATTCTAAGGATGATGCTCTTCTTTACCATCCAAATTTTTGATTCTATAGGTTCCAAGCCGAACTTCTTCTTTGATGTGGTAGGAACCCTCCCAATTGGGACCAAGGCTCCCCACTCCTGGCTTTTTAGAAGAAAGAAATACTCTTTGCAAAAGCTAACTTCACTTAGGATTCGTTCATCCTTTTATCAAGGAAATCAAGTTCAACCTCTTCAACTCATCATTAGATATTTCATTGAATTGTAAGCGACGAGGAGATGGTGGACTTACTTCAACCGGGCTCATAGCCTTAGCTCCATAAGCTATGGAGAAAGGAGATTCTCGTATAGCAGTCCTACTAGTAGTTCGGATAGCCTATAATCCCTGAGGCCTGAGGTAAGTATTTGGAAACATCCAACAATTTTTTTTTTTTTGAGGATATACTTGAGGTTTTATTGACGGTTTCCACCTACCCATTAGCCTGGGGATGGTGGGGGTGGAGAAATACTTTTTGATTCCTAGTTCCTCGCATAAGTCCCTGACTTTCTTGTTATCAAACTGTCATCCATTATCAGATACCATTGAGTAGCGGGTCCCAAACCTGCAAATAATGTTATTCTATAAGAATTTGGGAGTGTTAGCTTCTGTAATTTTGGTCACCACCAACTTAGTAAAATAATCAATAGCGAGGATAGCGAAGCTGACACTGCCCTTTCCTTTAGGTATGGGTCTTATGAGATCAATTCCACACTTGATGATCGGGCATGAGCTGGAGACCACACTTAGCTCCTAGGAAGGTTGTCTTTGTATTGTAGTGAAGCGTTGACACTTGTTACACCTTTTTACAAATTGCTGTGCATCTTTTTTCAACGTGGCCAGTAGTATCCCTGCTTTAGCACATTTTGTGTTAGAGCCCATCCTCATATATGATTGCCACAAACCCCTTCATGAATTTCTTGGAGCATGAAGGTAGGTTGCTCGCCACCTTTGCATCGGATGAGGGGTATGGAGAAATCTCGTTTATACAGTACATCATCTTGAAAAATAAAATGTGCTACTCGTCTTTCGAGCTTATGCGCTTCTTCTTTATCAAAATGTGTTAAGCATCACCTCTTCACCTTTAAAAGTAAAGGGTTTAGATAGATGTTCTATATGCAAAATAGTAAGCAAATTGGAATCTTTACTACTTGCCAGCTTAGAAAAAAAACGTTGCATGGGCATTTTTTATGCATGAGACCTGTGCCAACTTGAACTTTTCAAAAACTAGAACAAATTTTGTTACCAACTTCATATATGCAGCAATGCTCTTATCCCAGGTCGAGAAATTGCCATTAACCTGACTTATTACCAATGGGGAATCACTGCTAATAATTAGCCTATTCACTTGAACAACATATGTCGGGCCCACTCGAGTTCACGCAAGCAAATTCAAACACGTTTCGACCGGAAATTTGGACGAAAAATGATAATATTTATGGACGTGGGAGATACTCTATGATACGAGATAAAATGTTTGAGCACCAACAATATGATCGAAGGTTATTGTAAATTAATGAACAATCATGAACAACTCAATCAAAGTAAAAACAACTTAAACTCAAGCAAACAAGAATGAAAATAAGCAAGAAAAGATCAAGTACGGTTTTAAGAGCTTGTTTGAGGGGATTTTAATCCAATTAAAATTGAAAATATAGTCGTTATTGAGTCTCATTCGTCTAATAAAAGTCAAATATAACGGTTAGTTTTTCAATTTTAATCCCTCCCAAACAAGCTCTAAGTATCAAGAGTTTCATTAGATGCAAATGTTACAAGACTTGGTTATTTATAAAGTTTTGGTTGAAGTGGTAACTGTTGCATAAGAACAATGTGGCCTCATCTCTCAATTTGAAGCCTCACATCATCCAATTTACTTGCATTTAATACATTGACAATGAGTCGCTACTCTATACCTTAGGCTGACACCATCACATTCATTATTGCAAACGTTACATTAAACATTTCTATAGATTGACTGCAGATCCTCTAAAAAAGCAAGGGTTTCAGCTAAAGGAAGCTTTAGATTAGAGTGAGGGTTTCGCCCAAAGGGAGTTTAGGATCGGAGGTCTACAGTGTGAAGAGTTTAGGGACAGAGAGCGTCGACTTCTTCTTTGATCTCTTTACTTTGACTAATTGATTTTTTGTTGACTTTGTCAGATTTGGCTCATATCTCCACATGAACTGTGACGTGAGTTTCACTTGGAGCCTCGATGGTGAGGCGTAACAATTTCCTTATTTCAACTGATGAAGTATAGATGAAGACAATATGTTTTCAAGAACTAGTTTTAATTCTGTTAAACATAGTGGCTTGAATTACGTACTATTTCACTTAGTCACCGTGTTTAATTTGTCATCAAATTTATATATTCGTCATGCTTTATTCACTTGTATTTAAAATGATTCGAGTGTCCCTGAACTTTATTTATTGAATCTAATTGTTCAATAATTAAAAATTTAAAGTATAAAATACCATACAAGAAGACAACACTCTTCTAACCTCTAAAATTACTTTGTGACAAATCTAAAATTTATATTTTGTTAGTATTCATTAATATTATCGAATATGAATAAACAAATTCATTACTTGTTTGAAATATAATTTTGTATTTTTTTGAATTGGTTCTACATTTTTAATTGAAATGAAAAAAAATACTCTCTCTAATTTATTTTATCGACATAGAGAAAGATTATAATCTAATTGCCCTTCTTCAGGCTCTATTTTAATGAGGTTTTGAGGAAAAATATATTTTGAAATAATAATTTTTTGAAAAATGTGCGATTCAAAAGTAAGAATTTTTTTTTTGATTTACGTGTAGTATTATTTTATTGAAAAACGTGTGGTTGAAAATGAAAAAAAAGGAAAAAATGCATTAAATTAAAATGAAGCCCAAATAGTAAGATTCATGTCAATTTGAAGCTAGTGCAGATTCAGGTCAATTTGAAGCTAGTGCTCTTCTTTTCTCATTGAACATAGCTTTTGATACTAGAGAAATTATATCTTTTTTTATCACTATCAATATTTTCGTCTTGAGAGTCTTATTATCTAATTAATGTTTATTTTATCTTTTCTTACTCTAGATCGAATCTTATAGAAAATTAACTTTACTTGAAAATATTATGAAACCTACCGACCAATCGAAAATATTTCAAAGTTCAGTGACTAAATCGTGATGGATAAATAAATTTAGTAAATAATGAAATATGGTGAGTAACTGATTGAGAGCAGCATATTAAAATTCAGTGATTACTTGAAAATATTTTAAAGTTTAGTGATCATTCGAAAAGTATTTTAAATCACTGTTTGATGGTCATTATTTTGATAAAAATTGATTTTTGAATAGATTTTTCGGAGGCGTATAGTTAAAAAGTAGGAAAAAAAATGAGTTTACATATAATAATTTTTATTGTATAAATATGTAGTTAAAAATGAGTATGAAAATTAAAATTCTTTGAAATAATAATTGTCAAAACATGGGCTAAAATTCAATGTATGACGAAAGTGTAAGTTCAATAATTAGCTTTTGTTTGGTGGCCATCTTTTAGAAAAATATTTGTTTTGAATAATGAATTTTTAGAGAATATGCTGTTAAAATATAGAAAAAATTTGAATTTACGTGTAAAATATTTTATTGTGATAATGTATGATTAAAAATAAGTGTGTGAAAAAAGAATGAAAAACAAATATGAATTGAATGAAATATTTTTTTTTTTTTGTTTTGAGGGAAATTGAATGAAATATTTAAACCTATAAAATTAGTCCCACAAAATGTGTCACAGGGATAATTACGGCCACCAACCCCATCCCGAACCCCCATCTCACAGAGCTCTTTCACAGGGAGGCAGGGACCCCACACAAACTCTCTCTCTCGCACGCTCCCGATAAATATATTATTATTATCCCCAATTTCTCATCAGCGAGCATCGCTTTCTATGTCCTACCGAAGAATAAAACCCTAATATTCGCCTTTCCCCCTTTAACGCTCTACGTTTTCCCTCTCTAAATTTCATATACTATACAAAAACTTCATTTTCAAATGGCGACGGCGGGCGAAGGAGGAGACCCAACCACCACAACTGCCACCTCATCCTCTTATGAAGGCGGCGGCAGAGAAGGGGTGGGAGGAAAGTCCCGGAAGAGGCCGTTCCGCAGAGCCCACCGTACGACGCCCTACGATCGCCCACTCACTGCTCTCCAGGGAATTACCACCACCGCCACCAGCAATAACAAATCTAGCTGGTTGAGTAAGCTTGTGGTGGACCCCGCCTCCAAGCTCATCTCTTATGGGGCTAACCGCTTCTTTGCCTCCGTTTTTCTCAAACGCCTCCCCCCTCCTCCCCAACCACCAGGTATATTCTCCAGTGTGATTGTTTTCCAGAAATTTGTTTTCTTTTCTTGTCTTGGGCTGTTGTAGACTAGTTAAAGTTTCATATAGGTTTGGGCGAAAATCTTGATTTGAGGTTTAATTTTAACATTTTCACTTTTTACGCATAGTTGTGCAATTTTTTTTTTTTTGGTGGAGACATACGATTTGTGGATTTGATTTTTACTCTTGGTTTGTTAGGTGGTGAATTGCTAGGCTTTGAGTGATATTTGGCGAATGATTCAGTTTCTTTGACTGGCGTCTCCAAAATTCGCGTTTCTAGTTGTATATATGTATGTGTCTGAATTTGCTTGTTGGTTGTTTGGTTTTTTTTTCCCCGCCGGGATGATTTTTGTTTTTGTAAGGTTAAGGTTAAGACTGAAGGTAGGGTTCTGACATAAGTAATCTTAATTTCCCCTTTTTGAAGGAATTCTTTGTTTTTTTTATTTTTTTTGTGTGCGTGTATGTTGGTTGGAGTCAATTGAAAGTGGAACATATGTTTCTGATTATTATGATAATAATGTTATTGACTAGAGCTATGACGAGGTTCGGTTACTTCTCATTTCTCTTGGTTCATTAGAGCTCAGTTTTGTAGTAGGAAAGATGAAGAAGTTCTAATGTCTGAAGATTTCTACTTTTAGAAATTTTAGGATTATAATGTATTTGCCAATGAAAAATGAACACATCTTCACTTACCAGCACGCCATTTTCTCCCTGTCCATTTATCACCTTTTAAGTGATTGATATTGCACAATCTTATAGGTTTCAATTCGAAGTTCAATTGCTTAATCTTGTGTGCTTCGTGAAGAAATGACATTATGCTTTTCCTGTACTTGATTATGGCACTGCTGCTTTTGTCATTTAAGATGTGTTCCACATTTTTATGATATTTGCAGTAGCTGCCGCCCCGTATTTCTGTTTCATACGGCATTGTATATTCACGAAATAGGTGCAGTTTTTCAAGTTAAAGATGTGTATTTTGATGGAATCATGATTCAGTAATGCTATTTCTATTTATTTTCATGGGCAAGCATAATCATGGTGCGTATATGATGTCTTCTCTTCCTAGGAGGTGTGGTGGTTCATCATTTCTTTTTATGAAATCTAAAAGAAGATATTAAGACACGGCCTAATAATGAAATGCTTACCTCTTGAAGTCTGAAGTTTATTACTATGTCTTAGTGAGATCTAATTTAGCTTATGATCCATTACAGAGGCAAATAGTGAATTGAGTGGCGGGCTTACGGAGGCAATTCCTAATGTAAGTGTTGTTATAAATGTTTACTCATTCTTTGACTTGTATTTCTTATGTCTTTTACGGTCTTCTATTTCCACCTTCAAAATATTAATTCACGTTGATTGCTAAAAATTTTAAATTAGTCTGCAGTTAGCTTCTTTATGAATTTGTTACACCAGTGCCTGAATAGGGGGTCATGTACAATCTGTCTTTGTTGAAATAAATAGAAAAGTGCTAAGAAAATTTGGGAGTTAGATTTGGAGAAGATGGCTTCTTCACTTACTTGATTGTATGTTTAGAAGGTTGACCTTGTTATACATGCCCGCTACATTATTAATGATTTTGCTTATTTTTTGTATCCGTGACTAAGCCGACACGCCTAAGTGATGGGAAAGGGTGAATTGGAGTTTATTGAAGATCTAACGATAATTATGTTGTTATTTGCTGAAAAAGTTCCATAATATGAAGCACACCTGCATAGACAACAAGAAGAAAAATATGAAAGAAAGAAAAGAGTGAAGTCACACATTGCAATTCGAAATGGCACAACTTCAATTTGTTGGGTGGTGGGGAGTGTTGTATCATCCTTCGTTTATAGGAGGCTATGACACACATAATTCTTCATTTGTTCTCTTCTCTAGTCTCATTATCTTCTCTTTCTAGTTTTTAATGGTGATTTTTGTTTAAAACAACCAAAAAACCCTTTAAAACTCTCTAAAATATGTAGCCCAAATTGCAAAGGAAAAAAAAATTCTAGAATAGGAAAAGGTTAAAATCATCTCATACCTTTAGTGGCCCAAAGTTTTTTGCAGAGATGTGCACCACCAATTCAAACATTAGCAAATGGAACTAAAAGAGTAAACATAGGCTATTAATGAGCCTTACACATTTTTGGAGTTCTTTTGAAAAAACAAACATAGATTGAGAGAGCATCACTTGTTATTTGCATGTTGTTTAGGGTTTGTTTGAGCCCCAATTTTTGGGAGAATAGATTTGGTATTGGTATTTTTTGGAGAGAGGTTAAAAAGTAGTAAAAGTTTTTGGTTTACGTGTAAAATTAATTTATTGGAAGAATGTATGGTTGAAAATGAATTTAGAAAAAAATGAGTTTTTAAAACGGGGGCTTACCTAGAGATGAGGATTCGAAATATGTTTCAATCTTCCCTTAAAGTTGTCAACTTTAGAAGAATGCAAATATGAGTTGGAATGGTTTGAGGAGTGATATCTTGTTCAGAAAAGTTTATTCCACGAAGGGCATATTCCACACCAATGCATATCTAAACCTTCTAATACTTCTTTGGAAGCCCTTTTCAGTTAGTTGCAAAATTTGTTGCACAGACAATTCAATTAGGTTGGCATGTCCGTATCCGATGCGTCGGATACAGATACCGCTCAAACATGCTACCATGGTCATTTTTCTTTATTAGATACAATATATATTTTTAACTCAAAGTTATTAAATGACAAATAAGTACTCATATTTACGAGATTTTAACCAGAAAAATTAATAAGTATAAAACTAAATTTATAAGAATTTTAAAGAATTTAATCGTGTCAATGATTTGTCGGTATTTTTTTTGAAAAATTTTGTTTTGGCATGTTTGTGTCGGTGCATCATAGATTGCACACATTCATGAATTATAGATACTCCTTTCATCTCATGTTATTTATCATCCCCTATGTTCAAACCAAGTTTACATCTCACCACTACAATTTCAAACCTCATCTCTACCCTCACACATTTTTCGAAATTTCCAAAATGAGTTTCGATATGTGATATCACTATTTCCCTCAATTTCTACTATCAACTTTGAATGGGAAAATTTTTAGGTGGTGACATTTTACACATCCAAAAAGTGTGTGTATAACTTCAGACATAGGAATTAATATCTAAACTAATTAGATCAATGGACTAGTGCAGTCTATTGCTATCTCGCATTATGGACGGGTAGAAGAGGCAGAAGGTTTCTTCTGGATCAGCACATATGTGCATTCTCTCTTGATCGTGGTGGACATCCATATCGGTGAACAAATGTTTCAACTAATGATGAAGAGTTGGAAAGAGTAAATGCCATTGTGTTGTGATTTGTACACTGTAATTAGTATACGTTGTAAACCAATGTTAATTGCTTATTGAGCTTGTTTCATGGACGTCTTCAGAAGTATATTTTTGTAGGTAAGAAAATGGGATGTACAATACCCAGTTTCCAATTGGGATTTCTGATTCCGGTCTCAGAAGTTCGATAAAATTTGTATATGGAAGTAACAATATCTTTAGACCCAGTTATAGAAATAAAAGTCCACTGATGCAAATTAGTGTTATATTTCATAAACAGGAATTTCATTAAATAAGGGAGTGGATTAGCTGTTCTTGATGTTTAAATATTCTCACCCACATCATCTGAAGTATTCTGAATGATCCTCAATATGATACTGAATAGAAAAAGATTGAGGAAGAATCTAACCCTTTAACCGAGTTGATGCCTTGTAGTCTAGTCGCCACAAGCTTGGATAATCACGCTTTCCTCCAAGTCATGGAGTGTTTACTGTATAGCTCTGCAAAGGAAAGGGACTTGGGAAAAAGACAACGCTTATTTGAAAACAAATTGGTGCGGAAGCGTTATGAAATTCTTATAATAAAAATTGAAAATCAGAATTATATTGGAATAATTTTGCTTTGTATTGATATATGATTGATTAAATCAAAAGTGTACAATACCCCTAGATTTATAGGCAAAATTATCTTTAATTCTATTAATAAAAAGAAATTAAAATAAGGAAACTAAATTCTGAAAGGAAATAAACTAATCTTAATCTAAATAAGATTTAAGAATAAACATATTACAACTAGAAAAAGAATCAAAATAAGGATACTTAATTTTTAAAGAAAATAAAATAATCATAATCTAATCAAGATTTAAGAATAAGCTTATTACAACTATTAAAAGAAATTAGAAAAGATAATTTAAAAAAGACAAACTCCTAGTTAAAGTGAAACTATTAATTGTAGTTGTGATGTACTACATCTCAAATCTACTGCAAAAATTGGTCACAAAGAGCTCTTGCAGTTATTGCTGTTCAAATAAAACTGAAACTTGCAAAAAGAAGCTCATAGTAGATTTGCTTGTTTCTTCCATAGAACAAATTCCTGTCAGTACATGATCTCACACTATTTTTGGATAAACTCACCTTTTGTTCATAAGGAAAAAGGCATTCAAATCTAGATACATGATTTAATTATGTGAAGGGGAGGTGGAAAGGATCAACCACAATTTGATGTGGGATGGAATAAACATTTAAGCTAGCAATTTATCAAATGGAGTTATGCTTGGCAAAGCTTTTAAGCAGTGGTGTAAAGCGTGTCCAGGCGACAAGTCCAAGCTTTTACTAGCCTAAGTGGACCTAGGTGAAGCCTAGGCGTAAAAATGCGCAAAACGTGTCTAGGTGGCAAGGTCAAGCTTCGCCCATGGGTGAACACTTCTTTAAAGTGCTTATAAGCTGGTCAAATATTGTTTTTAACCACACATTCTTTAGGACCCATCCTTTTATCTACTTATTAACCATAAATTTGTTGGGACCCATGGCTTCTGAGCACTTAATAGCTTAGCCAAGCAAGCACGGACTCTAGATATTTTAGGTCCATTGTAAGGTGTAGTAAGTGTTAGATGACTTTTTATGCATTTTGATGTGAATTTTAATTCTAGTAACCCAATATAAGATTAGCCATGTTTCTGGTCTTTCAATTTAAATTCCTACAAGGGGCAGTTTCAAATTTCAAGTCTTCGTAAAAAGAATAGATTCACGAAACATATGTCATGCAAAAGCATTTATTAGTGGGCTCCTAAATGTGGGTTTTCATATAAGAAGTGCAGACTTCCTTGTAGATTGTTAGCTGAATTTGCAATTGCTGCCAGAAACGGCATTTTGAGGGCCCATTTGTTTATGCATATTAAGTTGTGCTATTCTGTTTCTTTACTTTGAGGATTTGCATTATCTCCCTTAAAGCTGATGAAAGTGTTTTATGTCTTTCTTAATTGGGTGAAGAATCAATCTGGCACAAAGGAGCTTGCCGGTGGTAATGGTAGTCTTCTAGTGAATCGTTCTAACATCGGTGGGATATCTGAGCTTGAGCAACTGCTAAAGCAGAAGACGTTCACAAGGTAAGACGATGCGTGAGGTCTATTTTTAGAGCTGAATGCTCTAGATGGCAGAAACTTTTGCTAGAGCTTTCTTAGTTGTGACCCTTAACTATGGTCATGTTCAAATTTTACAAATCTGGATTGACTGAGCTTAGTCTTAAGATGTAATCCTTCGAAAGTCGATATGCGGGTCTTTACAAATAGCACTCAAGGTGTTTGATATGAGGCATTTAATGTAAAAATCACGCGGGGTATGCCTCAAGTATAACCCTCAGATTTAAAACATGAGTAATTTCTTTCACGATGGTAACTTTGCCTTTCAAGATTTAACGAGTTTATGTTTACAGTTAATCGTCCAGCTAGTTTCTCTAGCGAATCAATTTTTTTGCTGTCTGCTGTTATGCATAATCGTACAATGAATTCCTCACATGGATATGTGGATTTACATGTCAGGGTAGATATTTAAACTTATATGCTGTCTTTAGGTCCTGAAGTTTGCATTTCTGTAGAGCTTGAGTTATTAAAGTCACACTTAATTGATGCAGATCTGAGGTAGAACGCCTTACAGAACTACTACGATCACGCGCTGAAGTGCCAGTTGGCAAAAAAACTGAAGAAGCATTACCGGAGCTAGCATCCGATTTGGGAAGGCATAAACAGTTCTCTAGTAGTCCATTGGAGGAAGACAGAAATGAGAAGGATAGATCTCATGGAGTTAATTCGACTATTGTCAATTTGAGAGTACGACTCACAGTTATACTTGAATCATTGGTTGATTTATATACAATGCTTTCTTGTATTATCCACATTAATATCAGGTACCAGAAGATTTTTCTTTGATATTTAGTTGGACAAAATGTTTCCAGGTCCTTGAGGATGATATTGCTTCTCCTGCCGAACTCGCGAAAGCTTACATGGGCAGTGGGCCTTCAAAGATATCACCTTCCAAGTTGGGGTTGCGTGGTCAAATTGGAGTGGAAGATGCAAGGTTGCTTAGCAATGTTCCATTTACTCCAAAATCATCTATAATGTCATTGACAACAAGAGCTGCTGTTAACGTTGGGGTTCCAGAGAATGGTTTTATAACCCCAAGATCTAGAGGCAGATCAGCAATCTATAACATGGCTCGTACTCCATATCCCAGATTTCATGCAACAGCCACTCTCAAGGTTCAATTATGTTTTTAAATATATGTGTGTAGTAAATGCTTGCACTTTCTGGGTTTCAATATATACAATATTAATGGATGCACGTGTACATATATTGGTCAATTTTCAGGGAAGTGGATCCACTAATAATGGACCCTCACTGTCGACATCTCAGTCTCTACTGGAACATGATGTGTCTAAGCAAGTGGTATATATCAGTGACTTGTAATATATTAGACCTTTAAGGTTTACAATATTACTTTTCTAGTTATGATCCTTTTTTTTTTTTTGGTATTTCAGAGCTTAAAACGAAGGAGTTCAATATTGGATGATGATCTTGGAGCTGGTGGTCCCATGCGGAGAATCCGACAGAAACCTAATCTTTTGTCTCCCAGAATTCCTCATTCAGCTGGTGGAGTGGGAATGGGTTTTGATGGTATGCGAGGACCTTGGAAGCAAAAGCTTCCATTAGTGGATGAACCTAATTATAAGGATTCAATAACCGTTCGAAAGAATGAGGATGACAGCATTCCAAGCACAAGTTATACTCGTGTTCCTTCTAAATCCACTGAGGTGGCTTCAAGAATATTGCAGCATCTTGAAAAGCTAAACCCGAGGGAAAAAATCTCAGAACCTAAACTAGTTGCCTTGCGGGAAAAAACACCCACTAAATTGACACCAAACATGCTTCATGGACAAGCTCTGAGGAGCCTGGAGGACATGGAATCCTCAAAGTTGCTGCAGGATGTTCACGATGGCCGTAAGTTAGATTGGCCCATTGTAACTTCACCTGATGCTCATGACTTCGGTTCTCAAATGAAAGGCATAGTAGACTTGACAGGGCCAAAAGATCTTGATATCCCTCATGACATGACTCCTGCAATGAACAACGATACCACAGAATCACAGAAAATGTCTGGGTCCAGTGTTGAAGCAGTTGATTCTGTTGGTAAAAAAATTGCAGCTCAGCCTTCTCAAAGGAAACACGCTTTTAGGATGAGTGCGCAAGAAGTAAGTGTTGTTTAATTCAGTTGTGTAGTAAAACTTCATTTAGTTGTATATTGGGCTGAACTGGTATCGTGTTTGTATCGTTGTATTTGGTTTAAATCTAGAGCTCATAGAAATCCATTCTCTTTGTCAAACATAGTTTTAATTTGTATGTTTTGTGGTTTTATGCATAGTTGGTCATGATCAATTGTGCTTATTTCCATAATACGTCCTTTGAAATTTGATGACTTGCCTTTTGAAAATCAGATGTCCTAATGTTTATCATTTCATTTATTCCCGTGTTAATTTTAATTACTGTCTTTTACAGGATTCCTTTGAGCTGGATGATGACACACACTGCAACGGGGTTGAACCTAGACCATTTGCTGAAGGGATAATAACAACAGAAACCTCTCTTAGCAAGCCCTCACCTACTGAAGAACCAAAGCTGGACGAAATCACACCTCTGTCAGAAGAGAAGTCAATTCCAGGTCCTATATCAAACAAAAGAAGTGACGTGGGAATTGATGCCATCTCGAAAGGAGAACCAAGTACTGGCCCTTCTTTTTCTGTTTCACAGGCTACCAGCACAGTTTCACAATCAGTGGTGCTCTCCCAACTTGTCACTGCAGCTGACAAACCAAAGGAAGCTAATGATACGCATCCCTTGTTCAGTTTTAGCTCCAAAACTCTTAATGAGGTTCCTTCGTCTGCATTCTCATCCTTACCTTCTGACTCATCAAGCAAAAAGCCATTTACTTGGTCAGAATCTAAACCAGAAAACTTCAGCAGGTAAGTCACAGCCTGTCAATTATGTAGCTAATAACTGCTATTGAATTCCAACCTTTGTTTTGTTTTGAAAAGCGTTTACACCTTGAGGCATGCCTCATGCAAACCTTTCATTAAAGCATATGCCCTAAGTGCAATCTGCAAAGGCTTATGCCTTGGTTTACTAAGGCGAAGGCCTCAAGGCATAATCCTAGAGGTGGCTGATGACTGCACTCATTTATTTTACCCTTTTATTGCTAGCTTTAGCCCTCTGGAATTCTTTTTAATAGTCTAAAATATTTTAAGATTTTTCTGGGCTATCTTAAATGCAACCAACCCTAAAAACTCAAAAAAAGGAATGAAAAAAGAGCAAGTGGTGAAGCAAGTATGCCTAAACTTCCTAAAGCAGAAGTGTGATAAACCTCTCAGCCAAGTGAAGATGCTACTTTTCAGTGGCAGATGGCTGTTGAAGAGAACTACAACTCATAACTTCATTCTTTATTTCTCTTGTTTTTTGTGTTTGTGTTACTATTTCATTTATCTTTTCCTTTACAAGGAGAAGATGAGGCTTGTGCTTCTGGGTTACAGTGTTGGTTATTATTAGGGCCCTCATTCTTTCTTTTCTAGAAAATTTGGATGTGTAGGGAATGATGGGTCCTTTGCCTCCAAAACCTGAAACTTCAGTGGAGGATATATTCTCATATGAGTTGTATATACCCAATTTGCCTTTTTTTGAGAATTGAAGCTTACTTTTTGACTGCTTGATGTAGATGATGATTCCTATACAAGTACTCCATTGCACTTGTTAAATTAATACTGTATTTATACATTAAATGGGCAAAATGGAAGGGAAGAAGCGTAGCAGATTCAGAACATATGTTCTGAAGATTCTTTGAGTGGGATGTGAGAAAATTATATCTTTATTTTCCATGCTAAGTTCTGAACTTTTCTATCATTGTTTTGATCTTCCTTAATTGCATGTGCAGCTTGGTCAATGTGGCTTCTGCTGTAACAGGAGCTCAGCTGGGAATTTTTGGTTCAGATAAAGGTGGCCATCTGAATTCCCTGATATCTGGTGATACTAATGGAAAATCTGAAACTCCTTTATCTGTTACATCAAACGGACCACGCTATTCAAGTTCTCCTGCCGTCTCAGCCACTGCAGCTTCCACAAGTGATACAAATCAGATCTCTACTGGGAGTTCTAGCCTTTTTACCTCTTCAACTAGCATTTCAAACTTTGGCTCCACTGGTTCCACCACCATTACCTCTGCTGCGTCCACAAGCAGCATTTTTGGGTCAACTGTGGCACCTTCATTTTCAGCTGTACCTACTTTCAAGTTTTGTTCGGCTGTGGATCCATCACCTGCTGCTGTTTCTCTAGCATCAGCTACAACCATTATGGAATCAAGAGATTGGAAAACCAAATCAGAGAAAGATACAAATTTTGGCAGCTCAAGTAATTCATCAATTATGGCAGTAAGCTCCGGAAATAGCACTTTTCAACTTGGATCTTATGTCACTTCAACTGCAAATAACGTTTCTCAGGGTTCTCTTTTTAGTAGTGGCAGTGGATCACTGGTGTCTGGGACTGTTACTCAAAGCATGCCTATTTCATTTGGCTCATCTTTACCATCTTCCAGTATCAGTAACAATACATCATTTGCATCTTCCTCGGCCAATTCCCAAGTGCCCATTTCAAACATTAATTTTGGTTTCAGTTCTGCAGCTTCCTCATCTGAGACCAATGGGGTTGATTCTGGCAGTGGGCCAGCAGCTAGTGTATTCAAATTCGGTGTGAGTTCTGCTGCTGCTTCAGATGTTGGTGCAATTAGCTCCAGCAGTGGTGCCACTACTGGAATATTTAGTTTTGGTCTCAGTTCTTCCTCTTCCTCCGCCAACGTAGTTGGCTCAACCAGTGGTGCCACTCCTAGTGTATTCAGTTTTGGGAGCAGTTCTGCTGCTTCCACACCGGGAATCAATGCTGCTAGCTCCTTCAGCAGTGGTACTTCTGGTATATTCAGTTTTGGTGCAAGTTCATCGGCTGCCTCTTCAGCTACCAACTTGGTTAGCTCCAGCAATCCTACTACTAACTTATTTGGTTCTAGTTGGCAAAGTCCCAAGTCTCCAATTCTTGGTTCCACTTTCACTTCTCCATCCCCATCAACTGGATTTGCCTTTGGTGCATCATCGTCTTCCTTCGCAGCTACAAACACTGCACCAATGGTATTTAATTCGTCCACTGGGGCCTCATCAAACCCATTTTCTTCATTTACTACAGCCTCAGCTGCAGCCTTATCTTCACCATCTCTATCTCATACACAGCCAGTATTTGGTAATCTTCCTGCTTTTGCAGCCTCTCCTGGGAATGATCTGATGAATGCCGAAGACAGTATGGCCGAGGATACCATTCAGTCGTCTGCACCTTCTGTTCCCGTATTTGGTCTACCAGCCATCTCACCTTCTCCCCCAGGATTCATGTTTGGGTCAACAGTTCCATCACAACCCAATCCCTTTCAATTTGGTGGCCAGCAAAATCAAGTTCCTCCACGGAACCCTTCTCCATTTCAGGCATCGAGTAGTCTAGAATTCAATGCAGGTGGGAGCTTCTCATTGGGCAGTGTTGGTGACAAGTCAGGTCGAAAGTATGTGAAGGCTAGTAGAAGTAAGAACCGGAAGAAGTAGAGACAGTGAATGTTATAGCTGTTGTATCCTTCATTGATGCCATTAATCATGGTTGCCTGTTTGGTTGAGAGATTATGCGATAACTGATCTTTCGATTCTCCATCTTCACAATCTTGGATGCATCAGCCTCTAGGAAACACTAAAAAGGTGGTTATTCTATTTCCAGCCTTTTTGAATTTCCCCGTTTTTGTTTAGCACATCTTTAGTCACAGCTTCATCAATTTTGGACTGTATTGAACTTGAGAACAATTGCAATTTACCAAGAGGTGACGTGGGATCTGGGAATTGTGTTATTAAACGTGCTTGTGTATTTCTATGTAAGATAAAAGGAAATGTTCATAAATCTTTCCGAGGAAGTATGTTGTGTTGAGTTCCATGTCTGTGGCTCAGCCATCGTCTTTATCTGCAGATTATTTCCTTGCAGCTTTTGATCTCAAGCCGTCCAGACAACCTGCCTTGTTTCTTGAGTTGGAGCCTGTTTTGTGTTGTATATGTAGTGTTTGTAGACCTGCTTGCTATTGTTGTGCAGGTCATTCTTCAGGTTAGGATGTTCAATTTTGTTGTGTTTTGATTTTGTTTACGTTGGACACAAATTTTGTAGTGCTTTTCAGATGAACGCTGTTATAAAGAATGAATAATTAAAATTATTTTGGCCTTTTTTTTTTCCAAGAGGTGTATGAAAATGATGAGAATTCAAGAAACGTGGCACAATCTTTTATATATGTTGTTCATTTGAGAACAAAAAAGGCTTTAGCTCCTGTCTTTATGAATGAATTGTAGCTTGGTTGGTTAAGCTTTAAAAGGTTATTAACTGATTTTACTTGTCGCATATTTGCCTATGCCAACTGTTTCTTTGGCGAGCTCATCCGTTCACAATATTGTCTCCATTTAGGTGATTTCTAATTATGAAGGTTCAGCTGGAAGTCATTGACCACTACTGGGCGGATGAACAATTCACCGTGCTGCATTTTCCTGGTTTTGTGAAGAAATTAGAATTTTGTGACTAGAGTTAAACTTGATGTCAAAATGTTCAAGAGGTCAGCATTTACCAACATTTCTATCTCCACCACCTTGTTCTCTCTCATTTTCTCGTTGTAGACGAGGACTCTTATCAAATCGGAATTTTAGTAACTATAGCTAGCCAGGTGTAAATATGAAAAATATACTTCTAAATTCCCCAATTCAGTTATATTATAAAAATGATATGATCATACATGGGCTTACCCATCGATTTAGTCGTACCCCATCTTTCAGGCGCAGTTCAAGATTCTCAAATACGAAAGTAAGAAATAAGCTAAAGTACATATTTTTGGGTCGAAAAACTCAATGCTATTATTCTTAAAACAACTTGAAGTCAAGTTGGACGATTTTATTCACTCATTAGATAAAATATTTAGTTCAAACTTTAAAAGTTGCTTCAAAATACTACCAACATGAGATAAAATACAAATGTTTAACAAAAAGTAGAATCTCAACTTGTTTCAAGGTGTTATTGTTTGATCTTGTAACTTCTATCAATGTGTGACTAATTTTTTGATATAAAACATGCAACGACATGGACATAGTAGAACCGACAGGACCAAAAGATTTTGTTATCCATTCTGCAACAAACAATGACACCCAATGGCAGAGCAAGCAGGGGTGGACCTACATGATGCCTAGTGGGGGCCGCTGCCCCCATTCAATTTTCAGATTTTTTTGTCCAAAATTTTTTAGGTTTTCAAATTTTTTTTCAAAGTTTTTTGGTTTTGCCCCCACTAAATTTCCTTCGTGGGTCCGCCTTGGGAGCAAGGATCTTGATGTTGGAGGGGAAAAAACGATTTTTAGGAGACAAAATATATATACATGTTAATAAAAATTCAAAAAATTTTACTTGTGATCGCCTTTTTACGCGTCTGTCTGATATGCTGTCCTAACCTCACTATGGTGGATTGTCTGGACTTGTTTCCCTAACGGCCTCCTGCTAAACGGTACTCCTTTGTTCCTGATCCTTATAGATCTGTACATGGAATTTGCATGTAAAAGTAGAAGTATAAAGACATGATTTAAAACATGAAATTTTATTGAAGAATGTTTAAGAGCAAAAACTGTGGTTCAGCCATTATGATTTCAAATAATGGCTGAACTACATCTGCCATCTAACTAGTCTCCCTTGTTTATAATCTGGGTGTACCTAATTTTTCGGAAATGCACTGTAAGTAACTGAATCAGTTCTAATAAGAAATTTATCAGAAATGATGTAAAGTCTAAATTTTGCAATAGCTTTTTTCATTGCTAAAATTTCTTTTTCTTTTATATGATAATTCTTTTCTGCTGCTGAAAAGGTTCTTGAAGTATATGCATAAAGTTTTTATGGTGAATAATTTTTAACTTAAGCTCACGGGTTGAATATAGTGTGCCATTTCAAAAGCGTGGCCGGACCGGTCCAGTTTTTCAGTTGAAACGACCTGACCACTGTTTTTATGCGAAACACCTGAAACTAAAAGTGAGGTCACCATAATTCTTCATTCTCGGCCTCAAGTGGTGCTATTTTTGTAAAGTTTTCGAACTCATTAATTTGGGCATTTCTTTACTGGATTCTCAATTCTTAGGAATCGAATGTTGCCCAAATTTGACGTCCTGCATCGTTCACAGTAGTAAAATTCCCATTATTCAATTCCTCCGCCATCCCCGATTTCTCCGCCGAAGTTTGAGTTCCAATTGAATCAGTGTTCAATTACCACAATTTATCTCGTTGGTGAATCAAGGAAGGAAGATATAATGGCGATAAGATGAAAATGAGAAGAAGGACATGCAGGCTATGGTGGCCGGCTTATCTTTGCTCTAAAAATGAATTCCGCAGTTCCACTTTCTTGTTTGGTTGGTCGGTTTCCACTTCAGTTTCTTCGCTCGATATCATCGTCGCTTTTGCTTTCGATGAGGCGGAATTGTCTTCCTCAGTGACTCCGGATTTTAATCTCCTCCCGGTATTTGATGCATTCCCAATTTTCAGCGTGTTTTATTGAATGTTTTTTCTGTTTGTAATTGATTTGTGTAGTTTGATGTGGTTGAATTAAGTGTTTTTACTGGGAATTAGTTTCAGCTTTTTTTTTTTTGTTCTCCCATGACCATTTGGAAATTTCAGATGTAAAACCCAAAACCCATTTCTAGTTTTTCCATTTTAGGAAGTTTTTATTTAAGCCGTTGCTGATATTTTTAACAAATGTGTACCAACAGCGTGTACAGAATTTACCATAGTGTTACTTGAGATTGCTCTGCTCAATTTTAAGGTTGCATGTGTAATTTTTTAAACGGAATTCCTCCTTATAGGACTACCGCATATCACCAGCATTAATGTTTAAGCCGCAGGCAGAACTAAACAAGTTTATAAAATGTGCAATTGTGCAATATTTTCCTCCCCATAACGTGGAGGTAATTTCTAAATACGGAGCTGAGAATACATCTAGGATGTGATCATTTTGTTGGAGTGACCTCTTCTGAGAACTATAAAAATAACTTCTTCTTAAATAATAATACAAATTCATATAAATATTTCCATAGATTCTTATGCAAATGAATAGAGAGTATTAACTGTTTTAGAGAAAAAAAGAACCACCAATAGGTGGGGGATTAGATCAAATCCTACCCATTTATTAATTCAAAATTACACCGAGAGAGATGCCAAACCTCATCTTCAGAAGTACAAGAGAGTATAGTGATATATGTTGGAGACGGCACCTCTGCTTTAAGGAATCAAAGCAATCTAGAGTAGGTACTTCCTTCTTTGCAGTCTATGAAGAAAATTGTTACAATGCACGAACACAAGGAAGATGATCTGAGCTTGAGAATACTTTAATACTACCTGTAAGATCAACGTGAGTAAAAAAACTTGCAACTCTCCCGATTATACACTCGTTAGCTAAAAAGTTAGCTGCTTCATTAGATTCATGAAAAACGTGTATATGAACTTAGACTTTACCAACCAGCTATTATAATTTAGACCACATGCACATTGAATAGCAATTATAGTTTAATTCAATCCAGATATTTGAATACCCGTACGGAGAACAATGCCTCTCCCTCAAGATGTGCTTTCAACTTAGCCACAAGGTTAGAACCAAAACCAAAACCAAAAATTCAAACTATGCTAACAGAACCTGCCAAGGTGAAAACATAATAATCCTCCAGGTTTCCTTTGCTACATGCTTCAATATTTAATTTAAGAATGCCATTTGGCGATTAATCAAACAAATAAGTATCAGTCTGCTTTTTCTTTGAGCAAGGATAGATGGATTAAAATACTTAAAACATAACTGTAAATAAAAATCACCATTCCTTTGTTCATATATCAATAGCTCTGCAGCCTGAATTTTTTGCAGCATTTTTTTAACATTTCAGACGATGTTTTGTGGATTCATATCAATGTGCTGATATTTTGTGTCATTTCTTTCAGTACAAACAAACTTAAAAATGAGTATAGGAAAATTTGTTCACAACTAGGTTAGAGATATAATTCCCAGAAAATAGCCTCACACCACTGGATGTATCCTTGATGTGAATACCGAACATACGAATAAAATGATCCCAGATTATAGAAGCACCAGTTCCTGTTATAAACAAATGAGATAAAATTTTGTTGTTGGCCAACATTTAAATGTGGTAACCAATTGAATTTTAAACTATTGCTAATCACCTGATCAACTGGAAACCAGTAATGAAAAGGAAATTTTGGCATTCACCTATGCCATATATAATTTAAAAGATTACTGAAAGGATTTAGTAGGACGAAATAGAAAATTTTCTTTGTTTAGTAATTTCCATTAATGGACATTTTCGGAAAAAACTTCATCCAGGCAATTTCCAAATAAGAGCTCCAGTTTTTTTTTTCTTTGATAACTCGGTTCGGTTATAAAAGCTAAAGCAAAATTTGAAATTCTTAATATTAAGATTCTAAATACATTGAAGTCTGTGTAAATACACACAATGATAACAGGTTAATAAACATAAGAGGAATTAATTTAGCTGGACGTAGACAAAATGTAAAACAAGGCCTACTTTATTAATTTATTTGAAGCAGTCTTATAAAATGTAGAAATTCCATTATATCCTCCATTCTCTTCCATCTACTCCAGCAGTTCCCAGCTTCAAGATTCCCTAATTCCACATCGTGGTTTCTTTTCGTCTTCCTTTTTCGATAAATTCATTCACTTTTAAGAAGTTTCATTCCCCGAGTTTCATTTCTCTAATTCCACATTGTGGTTTCTTTTTGTCTTCCTTTTACAATAAATTCATTCATTTTTAAGAATTTCCATTCCCCGAGTTTCATTTCTCTCTCCAGAAAGGGGAAGAAGATTTTCCTAGGCAGGGATTTGGAATATGGGGAGGTCACGGGGTGGAGACTCTGCTCAGACAAAGCTGCTGAACGACAAGTGCGGCTTATATGCCTAGATCATCATTATGCTTCTGGTTGATATTGAACTTTGGAACTCAAGAGTCCATAAAGTTCCTTCCTTGTTTAAAAAGTTACTTGAAAATTGGTAGAATATTCCCTTGATGGTCGAGTTGACATTGGTGAAAGCTTGATAATTTTATATCATTTTGCTTCTTGGTTGCAAAATGCTTCACTCATTGAAAAACTTTAACCCCCACGACCTTCATCATGTAATTTTCTGTTACACTCTTTGTTGACTGACAAGCATTATGCTGAAGAATACACATTAGTTTGAACATGGGATTGGGGCCATTGTTGAATCTTGTGTGTCATCTGAAATCACCGAAATTTTCATCTTCTGAGCACTTCAATTTCATGTGATTGAATTACCTTTATTTATTCCTTTTTCTTTGTGCTAGGGAATCTTTCATGAGACAAATCAAAATATGCCGGCATTTCTTCAAGATAAGTGTATTTTCTCCCTTCTGGGCTATTATGATACAGATTCCGGTGCCAATGGGCAGTTTCCCAGGAATGGAAATGATAGAGATAAACATATTTTCTACTCCAGCAATAAACAAAAGTTGACATGCAGCCACAATATTCATGAAGGCAATCATGGAAGATGGAGCTGTGGATGCCACAAATTTGATGGGCCACTAGAACAGTGTAGAATTGCTTCTCTAGAAAACAATCCATGGGTCAAGCTTGTATATGGTTTTTCTGAAACTGTTGACAGAAAAATTGAACTGATCCCTAAACTGGATCATGTGCATTGGGAAAAGGAAACGTCCCAGTTGAATCTCCATGTATGCAAGTCATGTTCACCTATGCTACATGCTTTCCCCTCCTCATCCCCTGCCCCTTATGTGTTGTGCTATCTCTTAACTTGCCTCACAAAAAATTCAGGTAGTAGTTTATGATATTCCTACTTTTGGTGGTCACCATTATTCCTTGGGTAGTCAAAGGTTATTCAGCCAAGTACAATCTTCTTGCAAGAAACCCAAGTGGTTTGAAGATCTTCATCGAAAGGACCCACACCTTGACTTGGTAATATTATTTACAAATTCGTGCATGAAAATATTGGCATTTTCTGAACCTGCCGCTTTTCTTTCCTGTGCATAGGATGCTGTCATTCTAGCTATGAACAGTGCCGCAGCAGCAAGAATGCTCTTTCAGAGAAATCTTCATGCTAGAAGATCTGCCTCACTTTTCCACGTTATTTGTTTGTAATGTTCTTCTAGACCTTCTGGTCTATCTTCCCTTTTACCTTTAATTTCTTTGGTACTTATAACAGCTTTTTATGATTTGTCAGGTTCGGTACCTTTGCATGGAAACTATTTGCTGCATCAGTGGCTTCACTAGCAATGGTCTTCTATATCATTCTTCAGTCTCTCCATGTTCTTTATTGTAGTGTGTCACAATCATTTATATGCATCACATTGGAAAATGTATTCAGCAATACTCGAAAAAATATTCAAATTCGCTGCTTTCAGTTGTTGTATTGGCCAATCTTTCTCCAGGATCATGTTATAAGGTAAAATGAGTGTGGCTTCTTGGATAATCCAACTTTTAAGTCTAATCTGATTATAATGTTTTATATAAAGTCTAAAACATTAATAATTAGCTTCTTCAAGATTTGAGTTCTTGTGTGTGACATGTAGATTCGCATACATATATGGACATGATAATTTAACTTTAATTTATTAGTTTTATTACATTTTGCATTCCAAGTAAAGTTGACCAGCAGAATTGGAGTACACACTAATTGTCGGAGTCCTGTTGACAATTCTTCTGTGGCTAAATCCCAAACAATAGTTAGTTCTACACAACTTATAAATTCTCAGGCTTGTCTAATCGCCTATGCATATATATGGTTTCATATACATAATTTTGTAGGTGTATAGGTATAACTGTAAATGTAAGAACTTGCAAGTTTTCCACCAAACAAAGTTCGTAGGTAATCGCAACGTGCACATGTAACATTTCATCACGAATTCATTTAGAGAGTGAAAATATATTCTCACTTCGCATCTTGGTTTATTTCTGACTTCATCAGTGGTTAATCCATATATCGCTTCAGGGATTCCTGAAAAGAATCCACCAGTTTTAGTTTTTTAACCTAATAACAAAATGATTTGTGCAATTCAAGATTTTTGGATTTTTTTTATATTTTGTCATTTTTGCTTACATCCTGCCTAGCTTTTGCAATTTTTGTAATCTTTTTTTTTTTTGGGGAATGGGGTACTATTTGTTGTAATTTTGGCTGTTATATAGGTCCCGGTCATGTGTTGAATTTGCGGAGAAAGCTGCATTACATAAGCACTCAATGTGGTCTAGCATTGTAGTTGATGTTCTTATTGGAAATTTGCTTGGTCTTGCACTTTGGTTCCAGGCAGAATGTGCTTGCCTATGGGTTTCAAACTTTGCTAATGACATCACGGACTATTGGTTGCGAACTGGTTGTGTATGGCTGATGGGAAATCCAGCGGGTTTCAAGTTGAATACTGAGCTAGCTGGAATTCTTGGCATGATATCTCTTAATGCAATTCAAATATGGTCTACCCTTTGGTTTTTTATGGGTTTCATCTTCATTTATTTTATTAAAGGACTTGCTATATGTGGGATTCTTTTTGGTTCAACAGTGGCAGCAGCTTTGATAATTGATGCAATATCACTAGTTACCACTCATGTTCTGACTCTTCATTCGTTTCTTTCACTTGTCTATTCACAGCAGATACAGGCGATTGCAGCTTTATGGCGCCTTTTCAGGTAAAAAATCCCTCTAATGTTAATTGACAACATTGATGTGCTGATAGTAAATTGTTTAGCTTAAAGATGTAGAAGCTTTTTGTTTTTTATTATATTGCTTTTGTGTGGTTCTGACTGCATCTAGGTTTATAAGAATTTTAAACGTTGAGGCAAATTCTGAAACTTGTGCTCAAAATGGCGTCTGAAAAACTGTATTTTATTGAATCTTGTCTTGATTGCAACCATTTTCTTGTCCTATTGCAAAAGCAGTTTAAGTGGATGAAAGAGTTTTGAATAACGTCTGGCCCCTAAAATTTGTTTGGAGATTCTTTCACAGTATATAAATGATCAAGAAATTAGGTTGAATGGAAGATAATGTGGTGGAATTCCTAAATCTCACAAGTTGATCATCAGCCAGAAAATTTCTTGGAGCTTAAAGAATTGCGCCTATAATGAGACAAATCATCACCCACTTTTTTTTCCCATATCCATAAAATTTTGTTAGCCCTAAAAATATATGAATTAGAAAGGAGCTTGGCTTATAGGTAGTTACTTGTGAAGGCTCGAGTACAAGGAAACCAAAAGAAAATGAAGGAGGCTATATTTTGGGATGCTAGGTTTGGGGCATGATATTTGCAATATCCTCCTAGCCTGCATTTTGCTCGGGTTTTGATATCTTGAAGAAGGATATTATAGGATACTAGAAAAATAATTCTCTGTTTCTGATCAAGTTCTAAAACAGAATAAGAAACATAGGTTTTAACATGTTCAGTTCATATTTGGAGAGCACACTGAATCACTGATATATCAATTAATTCAGTCGCTTTATCTATATTGAGTTTTATTTCTGAACACCCTTTCCTTGCGCTATTAATGGAGATATTTTTGACTGCTTGAGAAATTCCTGATTTGAGTTGACCTGGTATATATACCTAGGAGATATTATGATTTTCCAACTGTTTCATCCACTCATAGCATCGATGAATTTATTGCAGGGGTAGGAAATGGAATTCATTACGTCAGAGATTAGATAGCTATGACTACAGTGTTGAGCAACATGTAGTTGGCTCTCTTCTGTTTACCCTACTTTTACTTCTACTACCTACCACATCTGCATTTTATATTTTCTTCACCATTTTGAAAACGGCCGTGAGCTTTATCTGCATGGTTGTTGAGGTTGCTATATCTTTAATTCATGCCACTCCATATGCCAAAGTCTTTCTTTGGTCAGTCAGGAAGAGAAGATTTCCATCTGGGATTTGGTTTGAAATTTTATCTTGTGAACAAACTGCCGTTAATTACTCAGAGATCAGATCTCCGGCAAGAGCTAGTTCATCCAGTGGGAAGCTGCAAAAAACAACTGATACTAGTGACAGTAAATTCAGTGTCTTGGTTTCATTTCTTCACAGCAACTATTTGAGCTTAGGTACGGCCTTGAGCTTTATTTATGAATATTCTTTTGACTTGCAATTATGCCATAGCAGAGAAAGCAATAACGAACTATATCACTAGACTTCTTTTTGGGTAGCTAGTGTAGAAATCATTTTGCAACCGCGCAACCTGAGTTTCTAACTCAGATGGTTTATGCACCTTTTGCAATTGCCATAAATATTGCTCGACGCGTTAGTTAGCATGGAGCAATTATTGTTACTAATATGATACGACAGTACGAGCCGTTGTATAAAAAAAATTATACTGTGGTTAGTCAACACTTTTCCTTGCATTTTCCCATATAAATTTGTTATGCTTGGTTAATGATGTTCGTTTTTCCCCTTGGGTTTGATTTATATTTAGCTAGAGACAATATTTATCCATAATCATATTTGCAAGTCTGTCTGCACATGCGTACACATGCAATCAACAGTGTTCATACATGATTTTGTAAACAACCGATGATTTTGTTTATTATTATAATTAATTGGGGAAAAATAATTTCAGGTGAAGTAATATCGCCGCACTACAGATTTGTTTATTCAGCATTTTCTAGGTCGTCTATTGCCTCATTAGCTCATGGAGTTCTCACTGGGAGAAGGTTACTACTGCTTCTTTGCCTTCATATTTCTTTCCTCCCCCTGCCCCGGTATCTGGCTGGCTTGCTTATTATATTTCACGTTCTCCATCTGCAGTGTTCCATCTGCTCAGGGAACCACTCTTCGTCCAAAAATGCCATGGATGGTTCTTCCTTGGAAAGAATATTGGCGTCTTTGCCGTGATGCAATCTATGCTTGCAAGGGAGATGGCTATTGTCATTTACATCAACAATTCTAACCCTATTTTTCATCTTATTGCTATTTTATGTTTTTAGGGTTCTCTCTATTGAAATTTTGGAAGTTTCATTTTAGGGACGAGAGTAGGAACTAATTTCCATCCATTGTATGATTAATCGAATGATTCAGTGTCTTGTTTCTTGTTCTTTAGCATCGAATCTTTTCTGTTATCATGCTAATATTATCTCGTCTGTTATGGAGTTGAACTTTAAGGTTCTGAAAAAATCAAATCAGATTAACTTCTGATCATTCGGGTATTGTTTTTGAGTAAAACCACTTTACCCGAAAATGGTTGACACATTGGGTGACCGATCCTCACATTACGCGTGGGTCCCGCATGAATAAAATAATGCTCGACCTTCGAGGTGTGTGCGCGTTCGGTTATTCAAGGTGTCAATCGAGGTGTTCGTGTAGCACTGTTCATTGTTTCTCAGGAACCATGACAAGATTGGAGCCAATGTAGACATTATGACCTGAAGGACTAAATCGGGTAAGCCTATGTTTTTACGACCTTCTAGTGAACTTTTGATTTATTTTTTTTAAAACTAAAAAGGAAAATCGGGTTCGAGTTAGAGTCAACAAAATCTTGACGTAGTTCTATAAAGATTTTTAGAATTATTGTTAACATGATCTTTCATCAAATCGTATTTGACTGGCCAGTTAATTATGACTTGTGTCGAGCATTAAATTTTTTTATCATGCTAGACGTCGAGGCCTTGCCTAGTTTACACACATGCTTTCACCCCACTCTTGCTTCCTGTTTCTTTTTTTTTTTTATGATTCGGTGGAATGTGAACAATTCATACAAATGCCATGGCCAATGTGTAAAATAATCGAGTACCAACAAAATAGACTTGGTGATTCTTAGACATGATCCCATGGACATCGGTCACGGGAAAATTAACCAACCAACATACCTAACTGGAACACCAATTATCTTCATGTTCGTCGCAGGGGGAAAAAAAAAACAAAATTTTCAAGGTTGTGTAGAAGTGTATAGATAGCAACAAAAGGGCATTAGAAATGCACGAGCATGTAAAAAGGGGTTCACGAGAAATGGATATAGAGATGAGATGTCATTTTTATATATCTATTCCTTTGCCAAAGAAGGCAAAACGAAGAGAAATGAGCGTGTCGATGCAAAAGGATTCTTACACATTGAACAGTGTCCCTAGTGTTAGTTTTCTCTGTTGGGGATTGCGCAAACGAACAGTGTCCCTAGTGTTAGTTTTCTCTGTTGGGGATTGCGAGTTTGCGATTATGGCAAGGGAACATGTGAGTGCTGCACATGCATGTGAGGACTATTCTATCATTGTCATGACATGCATGGATTGTCATTTTTCCATGCACAAAACAATACGATATACGAGTGTACAATCCCCTATAAATGCTCCATTTTCTTGAAAACATATACCTTATATTTTACATACAATTTCTCTCTTTAATTTGATTTGTAAGAATTTCTTCGTTTGGATGAAGAATGGCTACCAAGCAATGCTATCTAGGGGTGGCAAAAAAGTTCGTAGGCTCGGGCTCGACTCGGAAAAAGTTCGAACCGGGCCCGGCTCGGGCCGAGCCCCATTTTGGGGTGTCCGAAACGGCCCGTGTCCAGCTCGTAGATTAAAAAAAAAAAATTTAATTGCAAGCTGCCTACACGCGACTAAAAAAATTACACAAATTCGTGCATGCAATTGTCTTGTCAAAATTTGAATT